TATAGTTAATTTAAAAGTGAAATTCATACTTTGATTTTCAAAACATAGATAAAAAGTGATATTTGCTAATTGTTATACCCTAACCATATATCCTATATTTAACACCACATACCTTGTACCCTAACCACGTACCATAAACATAAATTAAAAAGGGATCTCCTGCCGTTAAAGACTTCAAATGACTTCAAGTGAACATATGTTAATAAAAAACTTAGAACCGTCAAAACCATCAATATCTTATACCCTAACCATATACACCCTAAACAATATGTACCTTATACTTTATACCCTAACCATATACTTTATATACTAAACAACGAACCGTCAAAGATTACTTATCAAGTTTAGTATAAATTGTTGTAACTAATGGTTAATTTATTTATTAGCCCATAAAAAATTACATACATATATACATATTAGCCTTCAAAGCATATACGAATAATTTTAACTAGGCATGCCCTCCATATAAAATTTAAAGATTCATATTTCAAAAGCTAAAATTATGAAAAACCAAAAAATTGAAAACACCAAATTTGTTTCTTTCTTTCTTTTCACAAAAATACTAAAATTTCCCTCCTTCTTTCTCCTTCCATACATTAGAAAAACTCAATTTTCCCCTCTCTTTCTCTTCATAAAATTGAAAGAACCAAATTACCCTCTTCTTTCCTTCTACAAAAAGTTGAAAAGTCAAAAGTTTCCCTCCTTATTTCTCTTTTATAATCAAAAGAATCAAACTTTCTCACTTCTTTCTCTTCCCACATATCAAAACCACCAAAATTTCCACTTGTTTCTTTTCTAAAAAATTCAAAGAACCAAATTTTCCTCTTCTTTCTCTTCCCAAAAACTTGAATACACCAAAATTTCCCTCTTTTTTGAAAAACAACAAATTACCAAATACATAACTTTACTTTATTTATATTTAATTGATAATTTTATTGAATAGTTAAATTAACCAAAAATTTAATTGATATATTACATTAATATTGTCATGATCTCAAGTGACCTTCATGTTTCAATTTTTGTAATTTTCTTAAAATACGTAATATCAAGTGAGTTTCATATTTTTAAAATTTCTTATACGAAATGAAAAAATAATTTTACTTAAGTTTAGAATGAAAAACTTTATTTTGAAAAACTATGTATTGTATATTTTTATAATTATTCAAGTGGATTAGATGAAATTCGGGTTGAGTCGGTCGGGTTACGGGTTAGTCGGGTTCGGGTCAATCGGGTTTGGGTTAATCGGGTTGCGGGTCAGTCAGGTTCGGGTTAATCGGGTTGCGGGTTAGTTGGGTTGCGGGTCAATCGGGTTGCAGGTCGGGCGGGTTACGGGTTGTTGACTTTTAGTCAATTTGAGTTGCGGTCGGGTTGCGGATCGGGTTGATCGGGCGGGTTAATCGGGTCGGGCTATGTTTTGACACCTATACTTACAATACAAACCATATGCCTTGCATCACAAATCAATACATAAAAAATATACAAATTAATATTACACAATATAAAAACTAAAATGATAAAAAAAAATGCAAATCATATTGACATTATATACAAACATTACTAACAATACAAATTGGTAAGCTGAGATTTCAAATGATCATTCATTTGATTGGACGACAAAATGCAACGACGACTCTCTCTGCCTCCGTCGCCACCGAATGTCTCTCTCTCCCTCCATCCAAGTCCGACGATTGAAAATCCCTAGTCCGGCCACGGTTGGGGCTGAGTGAAAACATGGTGAAATGACATTAAAAGTCCTCGTTAACTAAAAAATTAAATATTAATTTAAATGTACTAAATTCTATTTGGATTAGACAATGTAACTAGACACTAGTTACCTGATCTCATCCCGTATGCCTACCCTTCGCAAGCAGGAAAGAAGGATTCGACAAAAGGTGAACATGAGCCATGAGTGTCTGCCGGAATGAGCGATATCTAAAATAACCATTCACGTCATTACCCTTTTGAATCTGATCTAATCGGGTGGATAAAAGTAGAAATTGAATTTGTTTTAATGGATATGGGTAAAACTCGAAACCGAGTTTTACGGGTGATGGATGTGCATGATTTTCCCACTATCCCATTAGACTCCATCCGATTATACACATGCGTATGTATTTTGTTTGAAATTGATCGTTAACTAACTTTCTTTATTTTAGCAATTTATTATTTTAAATTTCCCTCATGTTCATGTAACGTCAATATATCTTTAAAATTGTTAACATGTTGATTGATGTTATAAAGAGAAATTGTTATCCATGGTTAACTGTGGATACCCGAAATTCGATTGGGTACGAGTATGGTTTTGATATTCTACCTGATTGTTGTATAAGTATAAATATGAATAAATATGAAGTATATTGTAAGGTAATGAATATGCACTATCCGGTCCAGCATCCCTGTTCGGTCTGCCAGCCTGCCATGCAGAAGCGGACCTAGGGCAAGGGGAGGGTTGTCGTCCGACACCCCTCCTCCCGAAAATTTTGTGAAGCACCTCCATTTTTTCGGTAAATTTTTTTTTAATTTGAGAATGCGACACACCTTCATTATACAACAATAGTTTTAATGTTATAAAGTTATTCATCATAATTAGTAATTAACAATAATAACTAATAAGTAAAATCAAATAAGCATGCTTGTTTAAGTAACCCACAACCAAATTTAACTTGTCAATTTGTAGTTAATAGGTGAATTGCGTATATTTATGAGAGATTGTGGTTTGATTTTTGGTTAATTTGGTAGAACTAGAGAAAAATACTAATGATATTATTTTAGGCATACTTTGTTTTTTCTAAAATTGCCGATTGGTAGATTGTAGTTTACTAACTTTGATTTAAGACGTAGGTCGATTCTCTTTGGTTGAGTGACTAATTTATGAATGATTATGTAGTTGTGTATATTGAAAAAGGTTTGATTTGCAACATAAACGATGAATGTATTTTAAAAAAATTTCAGGATATGAAAAATAGTTATAATTCGTAGTAAACATGACGTTGTGAACTTATAAATGAATTTCGAATAATTTCTATTAAATTATTTTATTTATCATAATTTTTTATCGACGACATCTCTCTTCAATAATTCTGGGTCCGCCACGGCTGCCGTAACGGGGTGGTTCAGTGCAGCTTCTTGGGCGACATAATGCCCCTGGCCAGAAAGCGATACAAGGGAAAATTCTGAAGATTGTAGCTGGGAGCAAAGTTTGTGGCAGTCAAAGGACCAATTCTGAGTCTCCTCCATTTCCGATGCTTGCGTATTTTAAACGGTTCGGAGTCGGGGAAAAGATGCGAAAGGGCGTAGGGTTTAGGTAAAGGCAACAGTCTTGTATAAGCATTTGGAAAGGAGAGGAAAGGATGTAAGAAATCCAGTCCAAACCATGTAGAGCGAAGATTGAGATTGGGACTGTCCCAATCAATTCTGTGGATTTAAAACAAATGGCAATTGGTTTCTGCTCCTCACAGCCTTATCCTGGCCGGGTCAACTATTACTTGGTTGAGAGTATCGGCAGCCAATGAAGCAAATGTATATGTAAAAATAAGATGGGGCAAATGGATTGAATTTATAGATCTATTTATTTATGAAACTAATGGATTGATTGATTGATGAAATGAATTAAATAGGTTGGTAGACTGGATTCACGAATTTATAAAAGTTAAACTACTAAAATGTCAGAATGAATTATTTTAGGTATCAAAATGTAATTTTTAAATGATATTTTCATTAGAAAATTAAAATTTATATATCAAAATGTGAAATTTAAACAATATAACTACTAAAATGCAATTTTTCCAAACATCTATGAGTCCACCAATCAAATTATATTTGGATGAAATAGATTGGGCTAAATTGGATATTTTTTATTAATAGTTAAATTGAATATTAAGTGAATGGATTTATTTGAATTAATAGTTATGATCAATAACCATGCATCACTTACAACATCACTGCCACATCACCATTTATAGAATACCCCCAATCAGTTCTCCTACAAATTTCAACCGGTTATACCTCTTTTATTTTAAGTCATTAATTGTTTTGAAATCCAAATTAGTACGAAGAAGATAAAAACCAATAAAAAACTAGCGCAAATAAAAAAATCTTAAATTCTCACCTTTTAAATCTCAACTTTCTGGAACCTATTCAAATCTAAGTGTCCATAACTAATTATAGAGGGTTGCATAACCGAGATATGCACCTATCTTGAGCCCTGATTCCATTGTGTTGCCTAGTGTGATAAATTGTTCCCAATCACAACTCGTGGTTGAGCTTAGGTAAGGAATGAAATACCGTTTCAGAGTTGCCCAAAGCAGGCCTTTTGAGTTCGACATTTCCAACACCTCTGTTTCTTGGACTTGTTGTAAACGACCAGCAAACCCTACTTTTATCTTCACATGCATGCTGCTGGTTTTATTCTACAAATGCAGCTCGCTTAGCTTAAGATAAACACATATATGGGGAATTATCATTATTTATTAGAGTAAATTCAAGTTGTTTTATCACCACTTGCTCTATGTAAATTATTTCTTATAAAAAGTTTGACTCAGAGATGCAAGAGTTTAAAATGTTAGAGAGTGGTATAAGATCATGCATAATTTTTTCTTAACAACTCGAGTTATTGGGACCAATTGGTTTATAACATTATATCAGAATCTGTGCAAACTTCAACCTCGTGAGTTGGCTTCCGTACCCAACCTGTACAAAATCAGTCGTTGTATGTCATCTTCATTCTCTTGAACACTTATACTCGCGAGCATCTAAGGGCAAGATTGGTGACGATCTTAATTTCTTAGGGCCAGAGATTTCAACCTGATAACAAGTCTAAGAAAGAAAGCAACTCACGAGGAGCAAACTGCCAAACCGGCAGGCGACATTCGGCCGCCTCCGTTTTGGCCAGCTCGCCATCCTATCCTCCCCGTTTTTTTAATTTCTTCACCGACAGCTAACAACACACTCTCCTCTTCCCATCCCAATTATAAATTACCCTCAAAACAGAGTTTAATTCTCTCAAATCTCAACTCTTGTTCATTAGCATCATCTAATCACATCCCAAACATTTCGATTCACAGTCCCCTCGGCCGGCGATGTCAATCCAGTACCTGGGATTTCTTCTGCTACTCCTGCAGGGCGTTTTGGCCTGCGATCACGGCCCATTAGCAGCCGGCCGCCGCTCCCTGAAGCAGGCGGCGCCGAATGTGCCCCCGGCGGAAAGGCGGGAGGTGTACTCCAATGGCCGGCTGTTCGACATTACCCACCGGGTCAGCCCGACCCTGCCCACATGGGATTCGGCCCAAGGGCTGGGCCCGTTCCTGACGCTGGTGGCCAGCATCAAGAACGGATCCAATGTCAACGTGGCCCAAATCAAGCTCGTGGGTCACACCGGCACCCATATCGATGCCCCAGGTCATTTTTACCAGGAGTACTATGATGCTGGCTACGATATCGACTCCCTCGATTTGGATGTTCTCAACGGTGCATGTCCTGTTCGACATTTTAATTTGAATGATCTTATGTTTTTATTCCCGATAACTCGAATGGTTGAAATTGTATGCTCATTCATATACATCTCTGCTTTCCTCTCACAGGTCCTGCGTTGTTGGTGGATGTTCCCAGGACCAGCAACATAACTGGTAGGTAACTGATTAAGCCAGTCAATGTGGTTAATTGTTTCCACACAATGTTTGCCTATGCTATCTTGGATATTTCCTCCCTCAAATGATAACTAAGAGCTATATTCTTACATACAGCTGAAGTTATGAAGTCGTTGCAAATTCCAAAAGGAACGAGAAGGGTGCTATTTAGAACTCTAAATACCGATAGGTGAAAGAAGAAGGAAAAAAAAAACACACTAGATATTTTCATTTATGTATGATCAAATATAAAATTTGAAGATGTTGAATGATTGGATCGTTTTATATAAATGTGGTTTCGCTTTCAGGCATCTTATGTTTCAAAAGGAGTTCGACACAAGCTTCGTTGCGTTCAAAGCAGATGGAGCAAAATGGCTCGTGGAGAACACAGATATCAAGTTTGTTGGTGAGTAATTAATTAATTCTCAAATTAATCGTCCATAAGATAAAAACATATTAATCATAGGCTAGCTCATGTTTTCACATTTCCCTCATATATATCTTGGTGCCATATGTGGTGTGAATTCAGGTCTTGATTACTTATCTGTTGCCACATACGACGACGGCGGTTCATCTCACCTTACTTTCCTTAAAAATAGGGTAAGCTCTTTCGGCTTTTCAATACATATTTGCATAATTTACTCAATTTGTTTAGTTTATGTGAACATATTACTAATGGGCTAATTTGGCTTGATTACACATGGAATAATAGGACATAATTCTGGTGGAAGGATTAAAATTGGACAACATTGAGGCTGGGCTTTATGATGTTCATTGCTTGCCCATGAGGTTGCTGGGTGCCGATGGATCGCCAGCTAGATGTATTCTCCTCAAATGATACTCCTAATTAAACACCTAATTAATTTAAGATTGTCAAATGTTGTTATTCTTTTTGTTTTTTGGTCTTTCCTTAATTGCTTTACACATGTGAGGTAATTGGATCGGTTTGAATCGTGGTCTGATGTTCGTACGTTTATTTTTCCCGTCATTTGTCCATGTTATAAAAATTCAAAAATCTAATGACAATTATTAATGATAGGGAGCAAATATTAAGTGATGTTCTTATGCTAAGGGTAAGACGGTATATTATTTTTTTATTTATAAAAAGATGCATTGCATCTCGGGTTTCATCAAAATCAAATGGGGTTTGGAGAACTTCGTAATGTCATACAAAATATAATAAGCAAAACAAAGATCAGAGGTTGAAACACCATGCAAACCACGAGGAAAATAATTCCCTCGACTAATAAGAAAGTTAACACATTTATTACCTTGTAAATATGTGACAGGGAAACATTCCACTTCTTGCTGAGAAGTGTCTGAAATCTTCAGCTGACTTGATGTGTGACGATGATCATCATTATCCCGATTGTTGATAAGTTGCACTACACTTTTGGAATCAATATGGACCTGGACTCGACGCTAACCAAGATCACAACTCAACTATAGCCCTTCTACATTGCCTCTAAACTCTACTCATGTTATAGAACATATCTCGAGGTTCAAAGCAAATGCTGCTAATTAGCGCCCTATATGATCTCATATCAGGGTACCAACATTCGCGCAACTATTTCATGGTGTATGGAGCCCAGAGTGTTGAGAGACACCCACTCAGGAGGTGGTAGCTTCAATGAGGTCAACACCTCCATCTAGATGGGCGCACAACGCGAGAGAATGAGCTATACTACGTTAATCCAACCCCCTTTATATACCCAGATTGACGGCGTTTCACGGTCCTAGTTCACAGCCGTGAACATTTGGCCCAGACCGTGATGTAGAGCAAGGACGCGCCGTTTCATTAAGGTGCTTCACGGTCGAGCGACCATGAACTGATTTATGCCCGCGAGATGGACAAAACCTGTATGGACTCCTCGCTCTTCATGAGACACGCCTTTTCTTCACGGTCTGGATGACCATGAACCTCTGGCCTCCACAGTGAACTGCTACTGTTGCTCCCTTTTAACCGGTTTTCGCCCCTTTTCGTCCAATTTTTGTTCCATGGGTTGATTTCACCTATTAGGATCTGAAACATACTAAAAACAACCACAAACTAGCGTAAAACCGAACCTCATGGAGTAAAAGTACCTCAAACATCTAAGGAAAAAGGGGTTAAAAAGTGTACAAATAGACTCGAATCACTCCCACACTTAGACGTTTGCTTGTCCCCACGCAAACCAATTCCATTCAAGGTAATATCTCAACCTAACAAGATAACTTGGGTACATATCAAAGGGATCAAAGCGGGTGAATCTCAATGTCTATTGGGAATCAACACATGAACTGTTACAAGCAATACCGACATCCATCACAAACGAAATTCGAATGCATTAAGAACGTGCAAACAAAAAGTTCTCACCTTGTTCACCAATCAATACAAGTCTCGACAAGACTACTCACCAACCGCAAGTAACCATGCATAGAGTTCAAGTCCAAGGAACAAACGAATGTGTGAAACAGGTCCTCACCGGGATAAGATAAGAACATGCAAAACATGAATGAATCATTCACTCTCGAATAGTGGGGTCAGGAACATTTGGTGCAAAAGATGTGCACAATCATGAACACTCAGCCCTATCGTCTCTTCACCATGGCGGCAACCTCTAAATGTTAGAGTTCACAAGATGGTTGCCATCACTATCTTGTCTGGAGGTCTTAGACACAGGTTCAAATGACTGGCAAGGGTCTTGGACATGGGGAAAAGGAATTTTGGGTTGTGGCAAGCAAAGCATGAGGTTCTACACCTTCAACCTAAAACCAAAGGTTCCATGGTTTCAACTAGAACCTACCTACAATCAACGGCCACCAGCAACAGTCAAAAACCACACTTCCCTTCTTTCAAAACATCACCAACCACGAACTACATTCAAGCACACTTACTCGGCTAATCCTTCTATCCAAATTTTTATCTTAGTACTGAAGGAGGTCACTAAGCAATTAGGTGTTTCAATGGCTTGAGTTTCACAAAACCCTTTTCGGAGCATAAACATCATCTTTTGTGACAGCTCTGTATCCTTTATTTACCCCATTTATTACCTCTTTTTCAATTTATTTTTTTTCTTTTTTTTTCTAGGGGGTATTAGAGAGCTAAACACATGCCAATTTACGAACTCCCTCCAACACTACCTTTCCATTCCTAGCAAGAACCGTGCAAAATCCACCTATGTAGAACCTCAATTGAGTTCAAAACCGAGAACTCTGAGACCCAAGGACGACTCACAACAGTTTAGACACGAAGAAATGGAAAATGGTCGTTCTATCAATCACCATTAAGCTCAAAAAGCAACAAGTTCCTAACAAGAGAACGACCCTAAAGTCACACGACACAAAGGGGTTAACTAGGGGATAAGATGTTTAGGGGCAATCAACTTTTGGGTGTGTACTAATCCTATGCCTCCATCATACTCACTAGTGACAACTATGAATGTTACTCGCCATGTTCGGAGGGATCTATCACACATGAAAAAGACGATCGACACAAAACTAACATGACTACCTAATCACCCAATCATCTGTTCCAATTTCACAAATTTTGATGCATGGCAATTGCAATCAAGGAGTAATCAAGTCAAGACATCCATTCATTTGCACACATATGAGAACTAAACACTTGCACCAACCTAATGCAATTCTCAATCATCATAATAGGATGCACTCGATAACAAGCAATCAATTCAAGGTCAATGTCAATAAACACGTGATTCTCCCATCAACCGGCCACTTTGATCAAGTATTCACTCACAAAATCACATGCCAATCACAATTGATACACCCCCACACTTTAGCTCGACATTGTCCTCAATGGAGAAAGAGGGTAGAGTGAAGAAGTTACCAAACCATTGGCAAGTGAAAGTTGGACAAGTTCCAGGGTAGGAGATTTGAGCTTCAAAGAGAAGAATTAAACACACAAAACACCCGCACATTATTGCTCGAGGTGAGGTTATTACACATAATGAATGTAGTCAAAAGCGATTTTCTACATAGAAGCGTTTTCGTGATATAGAAGCATAAAATCTAAAACTTTTAAGCTTTAAAGCGTAGGTTTTAACTATATTAGTTATAAAAACTATGATTATGTGTAGAAGCGTTTAGGTGATCTAGAAGCGTAAAAGCATAAGTTTTTAATCTTTAAAACGCGATTTAGACTACATTACACATAAAAATATTCAACATCACGATTAAAGGAAAGAAAATCTCACAATAGTACTTGTTCACACACTAAAGAAAAGAAAAATAACAAAGTTCAAAGTTTCAAGAGGAGAAGTGGGGCGAAAGAAATCGGTCCTGCCACATGTCTCACTCAGTCGACTACCTCCCTCGAGTCATGATCACTCATCGCCTTCAGACAAGACTCCCTATCGTCGAGCCATCTGCTCCAGAAGAGTGTTTGATCTATCCAACCGTGTGCAGACCCCTGTGAACTTCTCCTCGAGGCGAGTGACTCGATCCTCAAGGTGGACTTCGACTGTGGAAGGACCGGCTTCAGTCGATGAAGATGATGGTGGTGGTGTAGGGTGCCGACGGGGGCGTTGGCGTGGCTGAGCAAGTAGAAACTTTGCTGGATCGGGCTCTACCGGAGCAGGCACTACATGTGGCCTTAGTGCAGCCGAAGGTCGGAGTTCCTCAAGGTACTCCACTACCTGCTCATCCCAAACCAACTTCATGTTATGCAAGGTCTCGACGGGAAAAGACTCTGTCCGGCCAATGATGGCACAACCCGTGGTGTTGACCCCAAAATATTGGGTAATCCTCGTTATGATGCCCCCAAAGGAATCGTGTCTACCCGGTCTTGACCCAACACTCTCGAGAAGGTGGTAGTGACCACTGATCCCAGATGAAGTGGTGTTGTGGGTCAACTTAAGGTATGGAGGGCAATCAACCCCCTGTTGGTGACCATGTGCCCTGACATAAGACTAGGGATTACTAAACGGGTGAGCAGTGTATGCAGGATCCTCCATGGGGTCCGGAACTTCACAACATTGGTATTGGAGGTCCGAAACTGGTGGTCTCGATGCTCTGGCCGGCAGATAGCATTGTATGCCTCCTGGTAGTGGAAGTCTCTGCCTCTCTGGTGTATTCCCACTCTGTCATCGTCATAGCGGCAGTGTCAAGGCCTATGGGCTGAGCAAACCCATTATAGGTCAGCACGTGATGCTGACCTCCTAGAATAAACTCCACATATGGCTTGTTCCTTCTGTTTCTTCGTATCTTGTGGATAAAGGTGGAGTAGAACTCCACACAGAGCTTTATGTAGATGAGCTCATCCATGCAGAATAGACTCTGCTCCTAGGGATGGATGAGCACCCCGGAAATCGTCGCCCGATTCCCGAACATGGTGAACCCATGTCCAGGTCCAAGAACCAGTGAGGTCCCACATCATTGTTCCTCCACTCCTCGAACCTATCCCCATACTTGTTATGATTCACCAAGTAGCCAATGTACGGGTGGTCGGTATCAACCATCCTACAAAAATATTTAAACCATACACCATATATGGAAACATCTCAAATCGATGGGGAGAAAACGAACTCCCCCCCCCCCCCCCCCCCTCCGCCCCTCATACTTAGGATCCCACTATGATAATATGCCTTGTAGGCTTTTCACAGGATCAATTCCCACACATTTAAGCTCAATTGCACACAAGGAACACCGATGCATGAATCTAGATGATTCATAATTCAATCGACATAGCAAAATCGAACCTAAACCATGCCTCAATGGCCACCAACCATCATTCGCAAAAGAGGATCAACATTCATTCATAAATTGCACTTGGTCGACATTTTTCTCAATTCAACACAAATTATACCCAATTCGTGCCCACCAAGGCTTAATTAATCTCAAAACCACTTCATTCATCATTCAAATAACATTAATCGA